GCAGACCTACACACTGCTCATTCAGGCCATGCTCTGCCAGCATCCCTTATACAAAATAGAGGAAGACTGGCACAGGCGTTAGCTCAGGACAATTTTCCTCAAGCAAAAAGAGGAAGACTGGCAACAGATGTTACCTCAGGGCCAATCTTCCTCACCAAAAAGAAAAAGAAATAAGTTGAAGCTAATGTTTAAAACAAAAAAGAATTATAAAGAATTGAATTCACAGACTTCATAAAAGTAGGTGTCACTTGAAGTGACTGTCATTTCTCATAAGCAATTTTCAAGTCTAAATTATTTTCTGTGAGCACACACCTCCGAATCCTTCCAGAAGTACAGGAAATAACCGTCTCCTCCCACTTCCAAAAAGGTATAGTATTTTAACAACTTACACTAACTTTGACATTGTCAGAATTGGGAAATAATTCTAAGACAATGGGAGACCTTTAGCAGTGTTTCACAACTAAGATCAAATCCTGCCATAGCTAATAGTTAATATCTTAGGTGGTTTTCAACTTAAGCCTAAGGCAGAGACAGGCAAACAATGTCTACTCTTCAATGCACACATCCTTTTCACTTTCGCTCCTCTCTCTTTTTCCTCTGTCCCTTATGCACCTAACAGCACAGATTAGCCCTCTTCGATTTTACCACCTCCAGTAAGGGCCCTCTTTGTAAAGGACCATGGTCACCTCAAATAGTTGTACCAGCAATAAGACTGGTTAATCGAGCCAAATTCTCAAATACATTGAACCAGATCTGTGTATCCCAAGATGAGTCTTCCAGCACATTTATGATTTAACTTGTAATCTGTTATGATAGGAGACTCAGACCACCTGCTTCCCGAAAAGAATGTTCATTGCAAATGTAGCCTTCCTTTCGGTTCAAATATTTACATACGAAAAACAATTTCCTATTCTGCAAGACACCATTTCACATAATTGGTTTAAAAATACTTCTAAATTTGCAGGCCTAATAAATTGTTCCGTAATTAATAACCAAGAACATTAGAGTAGCACCTAACTGCCTTCAGTTATTTTTGTCCTCACATGAGAAAAAATTAAAATTCAGAGAAGTGAAGGTCAAGTTTTATCTGAAGAAAGAGGACTTAACCTCTAGTCTCATGCTTTCACATCTCATGATTTCTCTAGAATATTATGACGCTTTGTACCAACATACCAAAGATCAAATATATTCAATGGAAATCATAGAAATACAGTCCATTCCTAGAGAACTGGAGGGTGGAAAGTAAAATCTAAGAACTATATATATTTGCTTTACCTAAATCCAGTTTCCCTTTAACAATGTAACGCACTAGAGAGCTGCAAAAGCCTAGAATAATTCTTGTAAAAACTGGTTTAAATAGGATTTAAGCCCCTACCTGAAATAACACAACTGCCAAACAGCCCTTCTGCACTTTTCCTTCAAAGCACTCACCACAATGTGCAGTTGATAATTACATTAATTTTCTCTCTCAGAAGAGTGACTCCCTAAAATCCTTCACGTCTTCATCCCCAGCACTCGGCAGAGCCCTTGCTGAGCACACATGGATCCAAAACGAAACAGGTGAGCTCAGGCAGTGTCAGAGCTCCGGAAACCTCTGCCTCCTTCTGAGGTCAGGACACCTTTCCAAACACAAGCTTGTCTTCTGGCCTTTTCCTCTGCCAGTCAGCAGCAATGTGACTGTCTGCAAATTGGTCAGCATTTCTGTGCTGCAGTTTCCTCCTCAGTAAAATGGGGAAGACCTCTTTTCATATTTTTATATTCACTTTTCTTTATTCTTTCAGATAAACATATTCATTTTGTCAAGTTCCAAGAAAAAAGCCTATTGTGATTTCAGCAAGAACTGCATCATACCTATAAATGAATATCGGAATAATACTATTATGCTTAATCTTGCCACCCAGGAACATGGTATATTGCCTTAGAAAATTACCAGTTCTATAACCCCTAATACTGCTTTTGTGAATGCACTTTCTAAAAACATTTTTAACAAGTTATTGCTTGTATACAAGAATACTACTGATACTATATATCTACCTTATATTCTCTGCTTTACTTAACTGATAATTCCAACAGTTTTTTAGTTGATGACTTTAGGTATTTTAGGTATACAAGGATCACATGTGCAAATGATATTTATTTTTATAAATTACTTTATTTTTCCAAAATTAGTAACTCTTATTTGCTTTCTATATTATTGCAATGGCCAGAACTTCTAATTGAGGTTTTGTTCCTGATTTTAGCAAAGATACTTCTAATACTTCACCCTTCAGAAAAGGCTGTTTGAAATACTACATTTCACTGAACGTAAGATGTCACAATTTGTTAAGATACACAATTATTTTATGTCAACAAAACACTGCCAAGTAAATTATGACACAAAATCTATTAGCTTGAAGATGCATCCTGATTTGAGGTATTAAAATAGAATGGAGATTCTATATTACATTAAGGAAGGTTTCGAATTCTATTTGTGAAATATTGGAGTAATTGTTTAAATGTTTATTAAGATCTTAGGCAGCCATACGGTTAAAGAAAATTGAGGTTTTGTTTGAATTCAACATCTTATGAATTTCATTACATCATCCATCCACTCAACAAATATTAAGAATGGCCTACTATGTGCCAGGTACTAAGGTTATAAATAGCGAGCAAAAAGACATAAAGTTCCTGTTATTATATAACTTTTATTTATTGGGTCATGACAATAGAATATGACCTATACAATTTCCTTCTTAATTTTGAGGTTTTCCTTTGAGCCCTACTTAGCATATGATCAATTTTGGTAAATGTTCCCTGGATCACATACATTAGGATCTGCAACTACTGTTTAAGGGTTTGTGGGCTTAAGCAAAGAAGCTGGCACATACAAGGAGTTCATACATATTTATATTTTGAAGTGTTATGTTCCCGACGAGAATGTTAGATTTATTAATGAACCAAGTACCATATAACTGGGAAACTAAGTATCATAAGAATTCAAAGGTAGGAGGGAGGAATAAGTTTGAAACAAAATGACCCAAGGAAAGTTACTAAAAATATGAGGTCACTCTTGAGATAGGTTTTGAAGGCTAGGCAGGAATTCCCTGGGGAGCAAACAAAGTGAATACGGCAAGAATAGAAACGGAAGATTTTAGATACCTTGCTTTAAACTAAGAATGTACTCCAGGCATTCTTTGTAATTTCCTTGGGACTTCAAGACTTAAATTACTTTGGATTTTTTCCTAATTGAATGAACAGGATCTGGGCTGGTGGAGAAGAGGCGGAAAGAGCATTTACGATATAGGTTATCTCGGGCAACCAACGCGATGACCACGACTAAGCGAAGCAGCAGGTGATGGGCTGGAGTGGGCAATGAGGGTGGAGAGGGAGTCTGGAGGCCGCTTATCCCAAAGCCTCAACAACGCGGGGACAAACTGTGCCTTACAACATGTGCCCCTGGCCTTGGCGAGAACTGGGGCCCCTCTCCATCCCCTCGGCTCTGGCCGACAGCAGCGGGGGCCGCACTCTCACCTGCGCCTGGATGTAGAGGGAGACGCAGTCGTGCGACAGGCGGTACTTGCGCAGCAGCCGTAGGCATTTCACCAGATGCTCCTCCCCCGCCGACAGCTCCTCGGTGTCGATGTGGTTCACTCCTAGATGGAACTCGATAACCGCCAGCCTCACTGCCCCCTGGGCGATGGGCCCCTCGGCCTCCACCACCTCAGCCGGCAGCCCCAGGGCGTGGTCCCCCGCGCCCAAGCCGTCTTCGGCCTGAGGCCGCTCATCCTCGTCCTCAGGCGCGGGCCCCAGCAGCGCCTTGACCTCTTCCAGCAGCGCTCGCGCGCCGTATTTGGACTTGTACGGTTCCTTCTCGGGGTTTTTATGCAATTCAACCCGCGACAAGGCCAGCGCGGCCTGGAATTTCTCACGAATCTCTGCCCAGGGAGCGTTCGCCATAGCGGCCTGTACAGCCTAGGGTTCCTCAATGTTTGCAATCGGGGCTCCCGCCTTCTTTCTGCTTTGCGACACTTCACTTACGGCCCCGACACGCCGCCGCAGAACGGTAACCAATGGAGTCCGCCAAGGGAACCGCAATATGCTCTACGCTGACCAATGGGAAGGCGTAGTGGTCACCATAGCAACCGTTGTCATGGAAGCAAAGCTGTCAATGAGGGTGGGCACAGGGGCTGCCCCGCCCTCTGAAGTAGTCAGGTCCTCCCTCTCTCTCTTGACCCCGTGAAGTTGTATCTATATAAAGACATCAGGTGACTTGAACAGAACACATGGAAGTATTGCTTACAAACATTGCTAGCTAACTACTCTCGTTAATTGATATATGCTCAGAAGAAGAAACCGTTTGATATTAGCGTATAACCCAGCCCATCACTGGATAAAAATGTAACAAGGATTTACCAAGGATAAATAATTTATTAATTAATATCTAGCCTCTTGAGTAAAAGCTATGAATGTAAAAAGCACTCAATGATCGATAAATATTTTCACTTCAACTCTGAAATACAGGTTGGAGAAATGTGTACACAACTTCCCAAAGTAACACGAGTTAAGTCCCAGAGCTGTGACAAGCCACCTCATGCAGGGCTTTTTCCATTACATGCCTTCGTAAATTATCAAGTCAAATCTGGGGGGAGGGACAGAGAAGGTTTTAACTTTTTTTTTCCACATGGAAAAGGACATTTATTTTCAGATATCATGTAAACAGAAAAGAGAGCATAGCCCAATGAGGACAAACCAACTGTAGGAGTGAAGTGGGGACAGCAGATGGCAGCAGCACCAGGCACCGCCCTTGGGCCCCCAAGTCTGATGGGGTTGGCGGGATGACTTTTAGGGTGGGAGCTGGGATGGTCAGGCCGCATGTTGTCATAGCTTGGATAAGTATGTGGGGTCAGGACGACTGGAAGAAGAAAAATAACGCAGGCTCAAAACACAGAGTGAGGACTCATGTCTAATACACAGTAGCACTGACCAAATCTTCCGTCTTCAGTTTTTCTGATGACAAGCCCTCAACCCAAGGTCTTCCCTCTCAAGTTGAGCTTATGGTCCAGGCAACTTGGACAGAGCGGGAGGGAGGCAGTGCTTGAATAAGCCCTGAATTGGCATAGCTGGAATGAATCGGTTTACTTATAAGCAAGTCACTGCTCTTAACACACTGATGAGACGAGGAGGGGTGGGGGCTGGAAGTTCCAGATGGTACATATGTACCCCGTCTGTGTAGGTTTGTTCAACCCAAACCCAGAAGCACCTGAGTGCCTCTCCCCATGCTGACTTTTAAGAACCTGGACCCAGCTCTGCTCACAAATCTATCCAGCTTCACAGAGAAATAACTGCTCTCTGAAGAGTGAAGATGGAGATGAGATTCTCCTAGTCATTCACCAGGGTCGCACCTGCCACTGCAGTCCCCTCCCACTCTCAGGGATGCAGCTGTGATGGAGAGGTTGGGTATTTAAATTAAAAAGTAAAAAGACTGCAGGCCCTGAGAAGAGAAAGCCCTCACCCCAAGCAAGGGGGAAGGAATTGTTGTTCCTACCCCTAACTCCTCCCCATGGACTCAGCAACCTAGAATGTTCTGGTAGGCAATCTGTCCACCGTCCCTGAGCAGGGGGCTGAGATGAGGGTCAGCTTGCTGGCTCCATGCAGTGCCAAGCCAACTGCCACTGCCCACGGTGGCCCAAGGTAGAAGCCAAGAGGATGGCACTTGGAGGCAGAAGGAGCAAAAAGTTCCATTTTCAGAAACTTGTCTTCCCTCCACCTCTTCCATGTGGAGATGTCAGACACTCACAGCCTGGAAAGCCACCTGACCCAAGAGGGTTGGGTGTTTCCCATACAGATCAGCAGTCAGGTGGGGGAGCCCCGCCCTTTCCTGGGAGAGGCACCATGGCAGCAGCAGGCCAGGTGGGACGGGTGTGGACCACTCCCCAGGGCTATGCATTGGTCTCCATTGGCTTGGCCTCTGTGTTGCTGTCACTGAGATAGTTGTGGGAGTATGAGGGCCTGGAGGTGCTGTCGAGAGGGTCGTGCATGATCATCTGACCGGTCAGGGGCAAGGGACTGCCAGTAGCTGATGGCACTGGAAATCTTCAAGCTGCCCTCACTGGAAGCTTCCTTGGAAGGCACCTTGTTTTTTGACAACCACAACTTGACCCCGTTGACACGGTTCCCCAGCTCCGAGTCCACATCTGAGTCCCCCTCGCTGTTGATGAGGTCCTCATTCTCATTGCTCTCCATCTGGACCTCAACGGCGGCCTGCAGGTCCCCAATGTGCTTGAATGCCAGTTATAGATCGGCCTGCAGGCTCTGGTGAGCAGCCTCCAGACTCTCCAGATCCATTTCCAGTTCATACTTCTTGCTGCTTGCCTCGGCCTCCTTCCTGGCAAGCTCGCCCATCTCCTCCTTGGTGTCCCAGAGCTGCCACTGAAACCTCTTGTTCTGCTGCTTCTCCCAATTCTCAGCTGCTGTGCTCTGATCCCACTCCTCTGTCAGCTTCTCCACGTTCTCCTTGAGCCAGCTAGCCAGGGCCCTTTCGAACTCCAGGCACATCTCCAGCTCCTGGATCTTAGCTTCCTGCCTACTCACCGGAACTTGTTCACCATGGACTGCCCCAGGAACTCCACTTGGCTCTGGCGGGCTTGTAACTTCTCCTGCAGCTCTTGCTTCTCCTTATTGGTTTCTTCTCGCTGGGCTTGGGGATCATTCATCTGAGCCAGGTCCCAGGAGGCCTGAGCCACAGCCACCTTGTGCTTCTTCATCAGCTCATTCGTGTCCTCCTGACCCTCCTCCAGCTACTTCTGGATCTCGTTCTTCTCCTGCTGAAGGTGGCTCAGCTGCTCCTCCAGTGCCATCTTGGCTCTGGTGATGTCATTGATCTGCAGGTGTAGGTCTTCGATCTCCCCCTCCATTGCTTTCTGTGCTTGGATGGCTGCTGCACAGGTGAGCTCTGACCGCTCCGGCTGGTTCTTCAGCTGGGCCGTCTCCCTCTTGCTGGGTGCATTGTTCTTCAGGTGGTCCAGCCCTAGCTCTGTAAAGCCCTTTGAGATACGCAAAGGAGCACTGATTTTGGAAGCTCATAGACAGAAAGTTTGAATCTCAGCTTTGCTTCTAATTGACAAGTTAAATTTTCTAAGCTTCAGGTTTCTCATAATAAACGCAAATGATGTTACTTCTCTCTACAGAACTATTCTAGGGAGTATAAATGAAATTAAATATCCATCTTTAAAATGTTAGTGTTCCTCAGGATCCCTTCCTGATCTCCCAGGAGGACCTATGGATTTCCAGGGCTTCCATGACATGTGCTGCTCAGTTCCAAAACTTGGTCTACCAGCCAGAGGGCTCTCCGGAGCTCCAGGCAGTATTATCCATCTCCCAACTGGAACAACCACACCTGAGTGTTCCACTCACTCCTGTATATCAGTATGTTCAAATCAGAACTCATTACCTTCCTATTCACATGCCCCTCCCTCCCACACCACGTTTGCTCTTAAGTTCTGCATCTCAGTGAATGGCACCTCTATACACCGAGGTGATTTCCTGCACCCTCCTTTCTTCTCTCATCCTTAAATAGAAAACCAAGTACCGTTCCAGTCCACCTCCTAAATAGTTCTTACATCTGTCTACTTTTCATATCCAATAGTTTGGACCACCATTGTCTGAATTACTTTTAACAGGTATTCTTGCTGCCAGTCTGGCTTCCTACCAGTACATTTTCCACAACACTTTGGATGACTCATTCACTCATTCAATAAATATTTAAAGTGTTAATTTGCCAGGCACTGTTGTAGGCTCATGAATTCAGCAGTTAAAAATGGACAAAAATCTCTGCCCTAGTATAGGGAAAGACATTAAAGATATTAAAAAGTAAACTATAGAGTAACGTCAGATGATGAGTGTTATGGAAACAACAAAAAAGGAGGAGATAAGGAGTGTTAGCAGGTGAGGCAAGGGTGCAATTTTTAAACAGACTGGTCAGGAAAAGCCCTTCTGAGAAGACATCCTTTGAGTAAAGATCTGAAGGTAAGGGACTGAGCCATGAAGACATTAGGCTCATATCCCAGACACAGGAACAGCAAATTCAAAGGCTTTGACACAGGAGTGTGCCTCGTCTTCAAGGAACAAGGAGACCTCTTGGCTGGAGTAGAGATAATGGACAGAGAAGTAGGAGATGAAGTCAGAAAAGTAATGTGGGCCTGATTATGCAGGGTTTGTAAGGCCGCTATAGGGACTTTGGATATTCTGAGTGAGATGGGAGCTGTTGGATGGTTTTGAAGAAAGGAGTGACAAGATCTGACTTACAGGATTATTCAGAAAACAGACTGAAGGGGGGCGAAGGGAAGAAGCAGGGAGACTGGTAAGAAAATTACCATAATAATCATACTTGGTGCTCAGTATATATCTGTTCATGAATAGCGAAGTGATTGGCACATGGTTAATAATGGGAGCTAATTACTTACTAGGAGCCAGATAACATTCTCTACATTAAAATCATCTGATCTACAGAACAATTCTGTGAGATAGAATTATTATCCCCATTCTACAGTTTAGGAACTGAGATCCAGAGATTAATAGTTTACCGAAGGTCACATAAAATAAGTAGGCAGTTTTGCTCCAGAGCCCACACATTTCTTTTATTGAGGTCATAATAATTGACAACATGGTGAAATTTCACTTGTACATTATTATTTGTCAGTCGCCATAGAAATGCACCCCTTCACTTCTTGTGCCCATCACCAACCTCCTTCCACTGGTAACCACTAAACTGTTCTCTTTGTCCGTGTATTTATCTTCCATGTATGAGTGAAATCATATGATGTTTATCTTTCTCTGTCTGGCTTATTTTGCTTAACATAGTACCCTCGAGGTCTCTCCATGTTGTTGTGAATGGGACAATTTTGACTTTTTTATGGCTGAGTAGTATTCCATTGTGTATATATATATATATATATATATATATATATGTATATATGCCACATCTTCTTTATCCAATCATCATTCGATGGGCACTTGGGTTGCTTCAACATCTTGGCTATTGTGAATAGTGCTGCAATGAACATAGGGGTGCATAATTCTCTTTGAATTGTTGATTTCAAGTTCTTTGGATAAATACCCAGCAGTGGGATAGCTGGGTCATATTGTATTTCTTTTTTTTTTTTTTAAAGATTGGCACCTGAGCTAACATCTGTTGCCAATCTTCTTCTTCTTTTTTTCTTCTTCTCGCCAAAGCCTCCCAGTACATAGTTGTATATTCTAGGTGTAGGTCCTCCTGGTTCTACTATGTGGGATGCTGCCTCAGCGAGGCTTGATGAGCAGTACTAAGTCCGTGCCCAGCATCTGAACCAGCGAAACCCTGGCTGCCGAAGCAGAGCACACAAATTCAACCATTTGGCCATGGGATTGGCCCCTTTTTTTATTTTTTGCTGAGGAAGATTCGCCCTGAGGTAACATCCATTGCCAATCTTCCTCTTTTTGCTTGAGGAAGATTGTTGCTGAGCTAACATCTATGCCAATCTTCCTCTGCTTTGTATGTGGGTCACCACCATAGCATGGCTGCCGATGAGTGGTGTAGGTCAGCACCTGGGAATTGAACCTGGGCCCCCAAAGCAGAGTGCACTGAACTTAACCACTAGGCCACTGGGCTGGCCCCCGTATGGTATTTCTATTTTTAATTTTTTGAGAAATCTCCATATTGTTTTCTATAGTGACTGCAGCAGTTTGCATTCCCACCAGCAGTGCATCAGGGTTCCCTTTTCTCAACATCCTCTCCAACATTTGTTATTTTTTGTCGTGGTTGTTATAGCCATTCTAATGGGTATAAGGCGATATCTTGGTGTAGCTTTGATTTTCATTTCCCTAATGATTAGTGATGTTGAACACTTTTTCATGTGCCTATGGGCATCTGTATATCTTCTTTGGAAAAATGTGTGTTCATATCTTCTGCCCGTTTTTTGATCGGGTTGTTTGTTTTTTTGTTGTTCAGTTGTGTGAGTTCTTTATATATTTTGGAGATTAACCTCTTGTCAGATATATGATTTGCAAATACTTTCTCCCAGTTGGTGGGTTGTCTTTTCATTTTGATCCTGGTTTCCTTTGCCTTACAGAAGCTCTTTAATCTGATGAAGTTCCACTTGTTTATTTTTTCTTTTGTTTCCCTTGCACAAGTAGACATGATATTGAAGAAGATCATTCTAAGACCGATGTCAAAGAGTGTACTGCCTATATTTTCTGCCAGGAATTTTATGGTTTCAGGTCTTACTTTCAAGTCTTTGATCCATTTTGAGTTAATTTTTGTGTATGGTGAAAGAATGTCTACTTTCATTCTTTTGCATGTGGCTTTCCAGTTTTCCCAACACCATTTATTGAAGACTCTCCTTTCTCCATT